GTTTAGGTTTTGGTCTTGAAAATGATAAATATCAACAACACTTTTTAATTACTAAATAGTTACTACTTGAAATGACCCAGGTACTAACTGTAACAATGAGTCTACCTAAATCATCCAAGTAAGTTGTACTAATGTGATAAATACTGAAAATCTTGAGAGACGATCCTTCTTAGGAAAGGATAATGAAAGTCGGTCTGAAATATCCTATAATATCCTGAAAGGGAATTCTAAACCAATATTCCAAATCCATTTTGCATTTTTTTTGTCATATTCTTCATGAATATAATGCCAACCTACACAGAATTTCCTCTAAGAATGAACTGATTCCTTTGTCACAAAATCCTTGCTTTAAAAGCATATCAAATATTCAATGATGCTAGTATAATATAAAAAGAATATAGTATTCTTGTGGGTACCATAGTAGAAGGTGAAGTGAATTGGACTAGGGTTCTGGAGGCCACTGTACTCTTGCTCTTTCATTCAGTGGCTATATATCCTTGGGCAAATCACTTAAACTCCAGCATTTTAATCTATACTCAGTATTTTTATTTAATCCCATTTTGAGTATTTTTGTCTTTCTTAGCTCAAATGTTAAATTTTCCATGAAGGCCTCCCTGATCTCTCTGTTGGTAACAATTTCTCCCAACCCCAGATTTCATTTTCACTTTTTTAAAAACCACTCTCATTCATCTTTTATTATTTTGTATCATAGTTATCTGTATATGTATGAATGAATAAATGTATGAAAAAGTATTTATTAGAGCTGAGAATAGAAATAGAAATACAATAAAAAAATAAGATAGTTCTTCCTTTCAAGGAGCTCACACTCACATTCTAAGGGGAGAGGATAACACATACACCTTCAGGAAAGCAATTATGTGATGGTGATTGTGTGTGTGTGTGCGTTTATGTCCCCCTGCTTAGATCATAAGTAAACTCTATTAAAGAAAAGAAACTCTTCCCTGCTCCACTCCACCACCTAGCAGAGTGTTCTGCTCCCAACTGCTACTTAACAATGTTTGATGAATTTGATTCCTTAAGGTCCTTTCCACTGAAATATTTTTTGATTCTATAGCAGTTACATTCATAAAAGAAGAGTTAATTGACCAAAAGCTGGGTAGGAATAAAGCCTAATTGTTATTATCCTGGAGAGGGCAATGTTAAATTTAAATTTTAACAAAAGTTACAGCCACTATCTAAAGCAGGTGTTCATAAGCTTGGGTCCATGGATCCTCCCCCACCACAGGATTCCATGGATAGATTTCAGGGGGGTCTTGAATCTGTATGGGCAATTTATTTTAAGACAATTCTGAAAAGGCTTCACAGGAGGAGGAGGAAGAAGAGGAGAAGAAGGAGAAGAAAGTTAAAAGCCTCTGATCTAAAAGATTACAAATAAACAATACCAAAAATTTCATTAACAAAGTTTCTCTTCTAATGGAACACAAAGTAAAAGTATGGCTAAGAGTCATGCAGTATTTAGGTTACTATATGCCATCTAGAAATGTTCCCTTAGACAGTGTCTTATATTACAATTAACTTCAGCCATTCTGACTTCTAAAATTTAGGGGAACAAAAGGCAAAGAAATCTCTAATCCATTGGGAATTATCACTCCCAGTCATTTAAACAAAGTACCCTGTTTTTTAGGTGGGAGATTTCAGAACATTTGGATTCCTGTAGTGAGAAGGGCTTTGGTGTGGTATTCTGGACCCAGCAGTGATCCCATGGGATAGCTGTGATCAAAACATGATAACTGCTCTTCTTACTGCCGGCATAAGAAGTTAAGGATAAAGCCCTACTATCCCTAAGTCCCCTTTAATCATGTCATTGGTCTATCATGCACTAATTTACCTAAATCACTCTTGAAATTCCATGAAAAATGTTACCCCAAATTAAAATCTAAGGGCAATTACAAGGGCAGAACAGCTGATTTTAATTACAACAGAGGGTAGTTTAAATGAGATGCAATTCTAGGAGAGAGTAATCTGTATCTCCTAGGCATACTTCAACATTCTATTATTCATGATATACTTTGACCCTATCTGATTGGCTTTGGACAAAAAGGTGCTCTACAACAGGGGTTCTTAACCTGTAATCCCTAACAGTACACACACACACACACACACACGTGTGTATGTATGTACATATGTATGTATTACATTCATTTTTTATTATATTCATTTTATGCATTTAAAATGTTATTCTTAGAAGGGCCTGTAGGCTTCACCAGATTGCCAAAGCAGTCCATGACAGTTGCACAAAAAGGTTAAGAACTACTGTTCCAGGATACTATCTCCTCTGACTAAGAGGGAATCGACATTTGTTAATCATGCAGTCCTTTTCATTACTCAAGAAATTTCTGGCAGCCTGATTCCCTGGGCTAGTCTCTATGACCTTTCCTCCTTTCTTTTCACTAATAAGTTGTTTTTTTTAATTTTCAAGTTTGCACTTCAGCATAGTGTTCTTCCAGTGACAAAAATATCAGAACTTACAACTATGTATGGAGGATATATATATTTGTAAATGGTGAAGTTTCAATTTGACATAAAAAAACCCCTCTAAATGACTGGGCAACAAGTTTTTTGGGTTTTTTTTGTTTTTTTAGGTATGCCCCTCAGTTCAGTCTTGCATTGGTGATGTTGCAAGCCAAGAAACTGTTCCTGTAGTTAATTTATCCTTAAGTGCTCCCTATAACAATTTCAGCAATGAACTCTTTTTTTTTTTTGCACTGGAAAACTCACTTAAGCCAATCTGAGCTCTTACCAAAAGGGAATTGCCTTTAATTGCAGACAGAATTACAGACAAAAACAGCTAATTTTACTCAGTATTTCCAAGTTCAGGAAAAGTATCTCCAAGTTCTAGAAAATACAACTCCATTAAAATCTTAAGTGTAAATTTTTTGGTATCTAATCAAATGTAGAAAATTGTGACAACTCCATGGAAGTAGTATATCAGTCATATAAAATGCCGTATTTACAAAAAGAGAAACTGTTTGCAAACAGACAAAACCAGTTTCCAAACTAAAGCAGGAAGAGAGATGTTTACATATTATAAACCTGAAAATTGTTTTTTTTATTAGCCAAGTTTGAAATAGTACCATGAAAGTGCTGGAAATAATAATTACCAGCACTGTTTCTTTATAAACTAGCTGTACTGAAACATTCTGATTCATTTGTAAGGCTCCACAAGGCCCACAGAGACAAATATTTTCCACAGGGAAGCTTTCATTGATAAATCAGAATGAATGTATCCAAATGGAAAGGGATGGTATTTCTCAAGGGGACAAGGGAGTAGGGTCAGATAAGGACAATGACAACATCAAGTTACCTAAATGAAAGGGGTGGGAAAAGAAAGTGGTCTTGGAAAAAGGAATTATTCACTTCCTTAGATGTCAAGTCTGTCTTGTTTTGAATTAGATTTAACAGTTTTTTGTTTAGTTTTGTTTTTTAATTATCATCTGAGAAAGATTTCTGGCTCTACTTGCTCCAGGATGATCCTATATACTAGTCTGGTAAGTTACTTTGGTGTTCTTGCAACACTTCTTTCATTTTATATTGTAAAAGTTGTTCATTAGCATATTTTTAAAATTATCCTGTTCATGGATTATGCTTTAGGAAGAAATCCTCAAATCTCTCCAAAATGTCCAGATTTGAGTTGGACTAGGTGACCTCTGGCACCCCTTCTAGCCCTGAGACTTTGATTCTCTTTTGAGTTCAAAGCTTCTGAGGATAGAGATTTGGGGAAGAGGGCAATGGATGTTAAGGGAGAGATCAATATTAAGTTGTCAAGTAGTGCACTTAAGAGATTCAACAATAGACTGGGATTCAGTAGACCCAATTCTGATGCTGACTATGCCATTTAACTAGCTTTGTGACCTTGGGCAAGTCACAATCCCTCAGTCTCTTCAGTTACCTCATCTACAAAGGAAAGAGATTAGATGAGAAGTACTCTAAAATCCCTCCCAGCTCTGGCATTCTGATTCTATACTTGGATAAACACTGATGCTATTTACTTAGCAAACTCTGGCCACGAGGAAATGCAGCATTTTTAATTCATTCAACAATAGCATAGTCTAACAGCTCTAGGGTCATATCTGGTCCACATCTTTTACCTAAGGAAGAATCTCCACTTATGAGCCACTGGCCTACTTGTGCAGTGCAGGGGTTGGTTCAGAGTTTAAGGATAACCCAGAATATCCAATGCTAAAAACTGCTGAATCAGTTATGTGCCCTCATTTTGACAGATCAGGAGCAATTAGATGCTCCCTTCCCTGCCCCTAACTTTGAAAAGAAACCCTATCTTTCTTGTCCTCGCAGAGGTCAACTGTAAAGGCAGATTCCAGAGAAAAGCCTGTGTCAGCCAAGAAGGCTGTAACCCACAAATAAAAAAAAATCTAGACTTTATGTAAAATCAAAACACTGTTTTTATAGCATCGTTAAGGATCATTAAATACTGCACTCTGTAGTAGCCATTCTGGCTTTCTGGGTTGGGACAGAAAAGATCTGAGATCACTCCCACTTCTAAAATTCAGTGAGTCTATGATTCTGATTCTCTGCCTTTCCTGGGTTCAGGAAGCTGGCGTATGCAACCCTAAAAGAATGCAGCAGGATGAAGCCCCAGCAACCACCCAGACAAAACATTTGTCTACAGCTTTCCCCACAGTCGTGAGGCAGCAACACCAAACTCCTGCTAATAAGGCTCTGGGACAGAGCCGACAGATACCAAGCTTTCCTCTGGTCTTTCGTGGTCCCCCTCTGATCCCCAGGACTCACCGAAGCTGAGATCGATGCCCTGCCAAGAGCAGGAGGTGGAGAAGGGAGGATGCGGGAAAGAATAGAAGGGGAGATAAGGTGGAATGTTCACGAAGTGGGAGAGGGTCAGAAGAGATGGGAGAGTGGATGGAAGGGGGTGTGTATGAAGAGGCCCCAGAGCCTCTTGGCAAAGGGACCAGTGCTTGAGGCTCAGCCTCTGGGAAGGCGGTAGCTTGCCCGGGCCTCCCTACCTGTGGTGGAGAGCACCGTGCTGGCGAAGAAGAGGGCGGAGGTGAAGTCCCAGTTCCAGTTACCCGAAGCATTGCTGAGCACCGAAACGCCGTAGTTGCTGGCCTCCAGCACCCGCACCAGGAACTGCTCCAGCTGCTGCTCCGACAGACACTTGTGCTCCTCCAGGAAGCGCTGCTTCAGCTTGCGCAGCTCCTGGCGCAGCAGGTCTTCGTAGGGCAACTCCACTGAGGAGAAGACCACCGCGCCGAAGACCAGGTAGAGTAGGTAGCCCAGCACCAGGAAGGCGAAGCACCAGGCGGAGCGGTGCCTCTCTACCAGCCGCACACAAGAGCTGCCGGCCAGGGACTGCAGCATCTTCCCCAGCGCGCCACCACCGCCGCCGCCGCGGCAGACCCCAGGAGAGCGCGAGCCTGACGGCCGGGAGCCCCGCGCACCACCCGATACACACACACACACAGACGCACACGCCCGAAAGCACACGCACACACACACACACAGATACACTCCCTCCCTCACGCGTACACAACCACAGACATTCACGCACGCGGGCCGAGAGGATCTGCAGTGGGAGGGGGCGAATCCCTCAATGAACTCCGGGGCAGCCCCGGAGCCCGCCCCGGAGGCTGGTGGTCTCCCCTCGGGGGGCCCCTCTCCTGTTGCCACCCACACAGCCGCCTCCCCCTGCCCCCGCGGCTCGTTTGCAAAGGCAACGTCCGAAGTTTGAAAGGCTTAAATAAAGGTTCCCTCTCTCCTTGCCCCCCTTTCTTCGCCCTCCCCCTTCCACTCCCGGCTCGGCTCCCTTTGTGCACTTGGGTTCTCCTTGTGATTGGCTGGCTCGTGTTTCTTTTTTTCTCTCTCACTTGCTCGCTCGCTCCCCTTCTTTTCCTGTTTCCTTTCAGTATAAAAAGCCCCAGATGATGTGGCGCTGACGTGGTTCCCCGGCTCAGGTAGCCAGCAAGTCGAATGAGTCTGTAGGTTTGGAATTGAACTTCGCTAAAGCTATAGCTGTGGCTGTTCCCAGGAAAGGAAAACAGACGAGCCCTGACAATCCTTCCCTCCACCCTGTTAGTGTAGTCCACACCCTACATCCTTGGCACAAAGGTGTTTGGGGCTAGCCTACCTTTTCTGGTTCTCCACCCTGCCCTGTGGGATAATTACAAGAAACTCTGAATTTGATAAACCGTAGGAGAGGAGGGGGCTTTCGCAACAAAGAACAGTGTGAGTTTATAAAAGTTGGGGGAAATGAAACTTCTTTGACACATCACCCTGTTGTCTGTAACCTACTCGTTTCCAAATTAATTTCCTCTAAAATATTGATTGGCCTATACACCGAAATTCTGTTTCTGCTGCTTGGGGGAGAAGCATCTGTGTTATTTTAACCTAGTGTGTTAGAGCTGGAAGGGACCTTAGAGATCATGGAGTCCTACTCTTTTACAGAGCCTTTTACAAATAAAAAAATTCAGTGTAGAAAGGAAAGCTGTTTTTTAATTTGGAAAGCTCACCTTTTTGATTTTTAGCCCTTTAAAAGCCTTTTACATTAAATTATAATATATTTTTCTTTATCTTTCCAGCATCCCCGTCCGCATCTGCAGTGCTTGAAATATGTTGAAAATCTGTCCTCAAAGAAGAGACAGGAGAAGACACCTCCCCTAACTCCTTTGCAGAGGTGGGAGGCCCACAGGTGTGGAACATTATATATATTTTCAGATTTTTTTTTCAATTTTTTTTATTGATTATGCTGATTTGTTTCCTTTTCTTCCTCTTTTTCTTTTAAAACATTTGTTATACGAGATGGCTCTTAGGGAGGAGGAAGGGTTGTTTAGGTCATGTTAAAAACAAAAGACATCAATTAGCTTATATTTTAAAAATTAATGATTGTTGACTGACTGACAGCAGATTTACATTGAACAAAAATAGCAATGTTTGAAAGGGACTTACATTTTAAACTTGAAGGCAACATGTAAGCATTCATTTATCTCAACAATTTATAAAATAATAACTTTTTGGTACTTCAGGGGGTATGTGCAGACTTTACTGACAACATGGAAGTTATGGTATTTTTTTCTGTTTATGTTGAGCCCTCTCATGAAAGGATGAAATTAGTTTCCAATTATCTGTCATCTTATCCTGTCAAGATTCTACTAATTGCCAGCTGTTATGCACCAGTATGGCTTATAAGAGAATTAAAAAAAAAAGGATTCACAAAAATGAGAATGGAAAAGAAAAGAAAAAAAACACTGAAAGATCTGGAACACATTGATTATATCTTTACCCAGTTTCAATTGTCTATTGTCTCCCTGTATTTTACTTTTTTTATTTTCCAGCTAGAGTAATTATCCTTGTGAAAGAGTCCAAGGCTTTGTTCTGCTCAGCACCTAGAGCATTAACAATTTCCATATTATACCAGTAAAGGAGCCTGAGGCAAGAGGAACTTCTGTGACCTTAATTAGCAGAGAAGCAAGTTAGATAGAGAAGCCAGTTTGTCTACATATCAATTGCCACATTGTAGTCCTTTTACTACTAGAGCTGCATCTATGTGTTTAAAATTAAAAGAAGATTGAATTTCTGTCCAATGCTGCCTTTCCTTCCAGTGTTCTACTACAGAGACAGAAGCCAACCTTGGCATGTTTCCAGTCATGCTTCTCTGTATACATATAAATATCATTCATCAAGCTAGAAGTCTGCCTATTTCCCAACTGCAAAGGTTAATTTGATCTTTCTAAGACTTCTTAACAGAGGCCCAGAATTTCTACATATACCACTGGCTCCCACATTTTTCTTGAACTGATAGACTAGGGTCAAGTTGTCTCTGCTCCACTTAGTTTTGTAAGTTCTCTAGAGGTTCACCTAACTTCAGGGATTTGGGAATCAGCATAATTGTAGATTTTTATTCCTGGGATGAAACCTGTACTCCACTTCTGTTTTCTGCTTTCCTCCAGTATCTCACCCACTCTTAACTCTCCAAAGCCTATACTAAGTGATATAAAGGGTGATATTCCTAAAAGTATCCTCTGGCAAGATTGGATCTGCTTCTCCTTGTCCCTTCGCTGTATCAACCCCATAAGACTAGTAAAAAGAGGAAAGAAGAAGAGAATAGAAGAAAAATGGGAACGTTCAGAGAAGAGTAGGCAAGGTGCATAATCAGGAAGACAGGGGAGAGGTGACTAGGTTAGAGAAGAAACAGGTTAAAAGCTTCAGAGAAAAAAAAATTAAGTATGACTTGACCCCTTATGTAGAAGATGAGAGAATAGTTAACTTCCAATTCTCAGCTTAGTCTTTACACTGATGTAACTAGGAGTTGAACAGATCATGGACAAAGCTTCCCTTTTTTGATTCTGTCTGGCTATGTGCATGTGCTTGCTCAGTGCCTGAGAACTTTTGGGATGACAAATTCCTTAGCCACATCTGATTGGCCATGGTGACTCAGTGTTGAAGGACATTTTGGGTATGATGAAGCAGTCACTAGGACCACTGTCCCTGGTCCACCTGACCAGAAGACAAGGACTTCAATGTAGACAGTACCAAGCTGAAGTGAAATGCCTATTCAACAGTCCCACAATGTACTTTATGTTCTAATGAGGTTTAAGTACTAACTGCTTCATAAAACTATAACAATATCTATAAGTTAAGTTACTGAATCCTGTTTTAATTCTTTCTGTCATTGTGTACTTAAAGCATTTTGTATTTAGCATTCTTTTTGCACGTGTAGGAAATAAATACCTGCCTATACCTGATTCATACTGTATACTGAATACCTTTTCACTATCACTTTGGAGAGAAAACCAAGACATAAGCCAAAACATAAGGTTTAAGGCACTTATTCCCAGAGCATTTAGATGGGGATAAAATGATCTAAAGTGTGTAATAAAGAAACTGAGTCAGAGATGTTGTTTTTTGCTCACATTTGCAATCAAGCCTTCTTTCCATTATAACACACTACCTCCCATGATTCAGGTGTCCTTTCAGATGACAAGTTTACTCCCTGAAGACATTTGGGCCTTCCCTTGAAGGTAGAGGATTTCCACTTTATCTTGTTGTTGAAGTTGAGCCGCTTCATTATTTCACAATAAAAGAAAATTGGAAAGACATGACAAAGCAGCTTCCAAACAGAAAACTGGTAGGAAAGGGGAAAGCAGAATAGTAACAGCCATCTCCCTTCATCAGGGAAAGGAGCTAAGACCCATAAATCCCCCTTTCTTGTCCCTCAACACTTTGCAGGGCTAGCCAGATGTAGGAGATCAGAGGTAGATTTCTGATTGTATGGACACACACTCAAAGATCACCAATTTAAAAAAAACAATTACTTCCTGCCTTTTTGCCCTCACTTACTTTTCCCCCCAGGTGTGAGATAAAATCTCCTTCTATCTCTACTTCCTAGACTCCCTGGCTTCTTTCTTTCTCTTTTTCTTTTTTGGCTAGGCAATGGGGTTAAATGACTTGCCCAAGGTCACACAGGTAGTAAGTGTTATGTATCTGAGGCCAGATTTGAACTCAGGTCCTCCTGAATCCAGGGCCAGTGCTCTATCCACTGTACCACCTAGCTGTCCCCCCCCCCGGGCTTCTTTCCAAAAATAGCTCAGGGTACCACATCTCTTCCCCAAAGCCTCTCCTGCTGTACTGCCATACTCGCACACTGGTTAAGGTTCTCTACCTCTTGACATAACTTTATATTTATTTCTCTGTGTTCTTGAAGCATGGCCCTATGGAAACAACCCTGGTTCTGGAGTCAGAGGAATTCAGTCAGAGACCAGCCTGTGCCACTTCCTACATGGGTGGCTTCACCTGTCCAGGCCTCAGTTATTTCCTTGATAAAAAGACAGGAATGCACTCAATGGTTTCTTAGATCTCTCAGACCTTGAAAACAAATTACCAAAGGGCTCACAGAGGTTATATACCAACTGTTAACTCTGAAAAATAAAATAAAATACCAAAAAATATTTGGGTTAATAAGCAAATGTCACGAGGAAAGTTAAGGGGTAGATATCAGTCATTCTCGTCTTGGTAGAAATTAGTTTAACTCCTAGCCGAAAGTGCAAAGGAAGAAGAATTTTGATAGTAGGGAGGAAAGAGGATCAAAAGATCATCTTGGAGCATGAGACATAGCTAAGGAGGTCAGATCTAGGAGGTAATGATAAAGTAGAAAGACTTAGGCAACTATAGGGGGAAGCAGAATGAAAGCACTGAGTAGCCATGAGTCACCAGAAAGAGAACACCAGGAAGTAAGAAATGGATTCAGAAAGTGATACTGGATAGGAACACAGAGAGGGAAGCAGGAGTAGGGCAAAGACCAGTGCTGGAAAACACCAGTACAGGATTGTGCTTGATAAATGGCTGCCCAGAGGCATCCTGAGGTGTGCATTTAGAGTGAAAACTGTGCTCTTCTTTCTCTTCATTTCTAGATTTGCAAAAGTTGCCTTCTAACCCTACTTTAGGCACGTGACTGCCAAAAGTGTAACCTGAGTTGTGATGAGAAGTTGAAAGAGAAGAAACTGGATAGTTGGGGCTCATCTTTACTTCTACTTCTACTTCTTTACTTTACATCTTTACTTCTTATTCCTTTTGGATATCAGGTTGTTCATGTTAGTGGCTTGGGAAGAATTGCTGAGAATCTCCAGGAAGGAAGCCAGGATAATTACTGTGCTGTCAAGTGATTCATTTAATTCATTTCAACAAACATTTATTAAGTTATATGGTAGGAATAATA